ACAAGCAAACGGTTCATTATCAAAATATGGCATATCGTAGGTACATTGCAAGTCGGTGTGCGATAAGATAACTTATCCCGCCGACCTCACCTCCTTGTACCCGTGGTATAGATACAAATGTACAAGGTATCTTCACCGCGATGATCACCATATCTTTATTAAATTACCAATAGTATCAGTCATACATAAATACCCTTACATCCGCGCGCCTGTGTCCCCTCTATCGCCTGTCAGCAGTTAGTGTCAAATACAATGGCCTATACTCCTATAGTACCGACCGACAGAGCAAAGGATTGCCACTTCATTTTTTTTTTCCATTAATTAAACCTCTAATTAAAAATCGACTAAGATCTACACATATTGCAAATAGGTTGAACGCATTAACAATATTATGTCAATTTAAAATGACATATTTAAAAAACTTTCATATGATGACGTTATAGATATTATTGCATCAAGTAAATCTAGAAAATTATTTTTAAATAATCATGAATTGCTTGTATTTTTGTGTTATTACCATGTATTTTGTTCTGTCTGAGAAAAAATATTTTACTTATTTAACTAATAAATATCAATGGAAAATTATTATAAAAATACTTTTATGTAAAATTAGGGCCCCAAAAATAAATTAGCCCAGGGCCACTAATTTCATTAATCTCTGTATATATATAATATATATAATAATATTATTATGACAACTGTCTATAYTATACGACAGTATAAAAACTGTCATGTAGCGCTCAGAAATTCTGTCTATGATCATAAATTTTAACCAACACCATTTTCAAGTTATTGTTCATGTGTGCATATTATTATTGTCAAAACGAGACATAATCACCAGTCACTACCTCCAATCCGACCAAACGTGCAGTGTCACTACTAGTTTCCAGTGGATTAAAAGCATAGCTTATTAGAGGTTAACGGATGTTGTTTGCATATTCCCTTGTAGTAGATAGGTAATAAATGGTTTCAAACGCCTTTACGMGCCCTTGTTTAGAAATCGTTGAATTAACAGCTTATAACATTTATGTGAATATTTGTGGAGGTTACCGCCGTTTACTTAATGTTTAAAAAATCTGAGTAAGTACAATATATTATATTAACCTAAAGTATAGTCTCCCTGCATAATATATAGATTTAACCAATTAAGTGTGTTTTTTTGGTTTTTTTTTTAAATAGGTATTTTTAATTGTTTGTATCTTTCTCACCTAATCTCTTTTTTGGAGTTTTCACATTATTTCTTGGCACTTTTTTGGATTTTAATTTAAAATTTTACTACCCAGCACTATCGAGATTCCTACTTTACTACCATATGAATGGAAGTTTGATTTTCAACGCATCAAATGTCATTGAAAACTAAACTTTCGTCGCGTAGGAGTGACAAAAACTACTTTTTGTTGTTTTCATAAATATCATTTCAGAATACCAAAGATATTAAATGAGTCMTTTGTTTCTTGTTCCTTGGGATTAAAAGGTTTCAAATGTCTTCCTATCATGAACTTTTGCTTAAGAAATTCCCTTGGTTTAATTAATTCAAGGCATTCGCACGTAAAAAAAATGTAAATAATTGTAGTTTATTATTAATATGTGTAAATAAATCTTAGTAGTGTATAATTCAAATGGGAAACGCATAAAAATACTTTGGATTTCAACATAAACCTCATTCCATAACACGGTTTATATTTTTCTTTAAGACCAAATTGTTGTTTCACAAG